TTGCCGATGTGAGTGGTTAGAAATGTGAATGAGAAAGGAAGAGCCAGTGTGAGTGGTAGTGTCTCTTGGTATGAGACTATCCCATTGCTTATGTTCTGCCCTGCTTTTAGGAGGATGATGTGGATCAGCTAGTGAAGCGGATGATGGCCCTGCAGACAGACATTGTGGACCTGCAGAGAAGCCCACTAGGTCGTAAACAAGGAGGAACACTGGAGGATTTGTGAGTTGAACCACCTTGAACTTCAGATGCAGGAGTCTTACTAGCTAAGCTTATTCACTGCAGGACAATGAAAATGCTCTGTCTTCAGCCCAGATGATGTGGGACTGGGAGGACTTTGTCCTGGTTTTGGCTGGGATAGAGTTAATTTTCTTCCTAGTAGCTGGCATAGTGCTGTGTTTTGGATTTAGTGTGAGAATAATGTTGGTAACAACTGATGTTTTTGTTGTTGCTGAGAAATGCTTACACTAGTCAAGGACCTTTCAGCTTCCCATGCTCCGCCAGGGGCACAAGAAGCTGGGAGGGGGCAGAGCCAGGACAGCTGACTAAAACTGGCCAAAGGGCTATTCCAGACCGTATGACATCATGCTCAGTATATAAACTGGGAGAAGTTGGCCGGGGGGGCAGTGACTGCTGCTTGGGAACTGGCTGGGCATCAGTCAGTGGGCGGGCAGCAATTGCATTGTGCATCACTTGTTTTGTATATTATTATTATTACCACCATTATTTCCCCTTCCTTTTCTGTCCTATTAAACTGTCTTTATCTCAACCCATGAACTTCCCCTGATTCTGTCTCCCATCCCACTGGGGAGGGGGAGGAGTGAGCAAACAGCTGTGTGGTATTTAGCTGCCCGCCAGGTTAAACCACAACAGCTTTGATACTAAAAGACAGGTTTTGACTCCTTACCTGTCATCAGTCTGAAATAACAGGCTGGTATATAAAATACTTGAGTTCTTGAACTACTAGTTTGTAATTTAGGTTCTAGAGAAGCCCTTTTGTTCTGTGCCTTTTTCTTCCAGAGAAGAACAAGCCAGAGAGCTTTACCGGAGATTGAGAGAGAAGCCAAGAGGTAAAAGACGTTTTAGTTCAAGGTCAGCTTGCTTTTTGTGGAAGGTAACTTTGGAGATGCAATAATGAGCACTGAGAAAAATTTCTCTGCATTCTAGGCCTCCCCATACACTAGCTGCACATGGACTCTACTGGACTTGCCTTTTTTTGGAGAGGGGAGTCAGGGAGTCAATTTTAAACTAGGCCAGCCTTGCTTTCTTGGTGCCTTCTGAGCTCTTGAAACTCCTCTGGAGCTCTTAGAGCAAGCCGTTGCTGCAAGCATATGCTGCTGCTTCTGTGTAGGAAGGATGAAAGATATAGCTGTTCCCTTGAGCAGCTATACAGCCCCAAAGCATTAGACCCACCCTACCAACACTGCTTTCCAATTTTCATCATTTTGAAGAAGGTGACTAAAATCCAGTGCAGGTCATCCCACTGATGACGTCAGCTCAACCAACCCACTCAAATTTGCATGCCTTGGCCTTGGGATGTTTCAGGATTGAAGAAGCAGTGGAAACAAGCCACTAAGAATCTTTTCTCTCTGTCCTATAAGCCTACCTTTTTGTGTAATACTCTGACTCTCATTCCAGATCAGAGGACAAGTGGTGACAGCCAAGAAATAGTACGTCTGCTCCTACAGGCAATCCAGACCTTTGAAAAAAAAGTCAGAGTAATTTATGCTCAGCTCAGGTGAGCTTTGTAGAATCAGCTTTTATTGAGGGTTGAGAGAAAGCAATTTTTCTTTCACCAAGAGATTTTGTTCTAGAACTTTAAAAAACAGTGCATAGAGCTACTGATATCTTGGAGTGTTACAGGAAATAAGAAACTTCAGAAATGTTCCCCTACTGCAGTTGCCCATGTGTGGTGATGTTTGGGTTTTTTTTTAATAGTAAAACTGTAGTTTGCAAGCAGAAGGCACTGGAATTGTTCCCCAGAGTGGAGAAAGTGATGAATCTGATGAATGAAGATGAGGAAACAGTTGTTAGGCTTCAGGAGAAACGACAGAAAGAACTGTGGAACTTGCTGAAAATTGCCTGTGTAAGTAAAATAAAAACTCCAGTTTAACCTGAAAATACAGGTTACTGAAATAATTAAGAGTAAATTTAATATGTCCTGTGGTTCTTCTGTCTGTTACTTTGAATTAGTATTAAAGTCAAGTTTCAGGCTGTCTCATACTGCTGGCTGCTGGAAATTAGTGGCAATAATTGCATGAAATAATTAATCTTCTGTGTTCTCTTCAGAGTAAAGTACGCGGTCCTGTTACTGGCAGTCCAGAGAGCATGAACACATCACGTCTTGGTGGCCCTGGTCAGCTGCTGGTACAGGTCCCTTCTGGAACGTACAATTTATCAGAATCTGTCAGGAAAAGGTGAGGCAAAGCCTGGAGTTCTGTAGCTGCTAATGCCAGCACTACAAAGCTGGGGATCCTGCTTTGTGAAATAATGACATGCAGCTTTCTCACGTTACACTTTGTGTTCAGCTTCCATTGTCAGCAGTCTTTTCTACCTAGTAGCTGGACTTCCTGGGGCTTGTGAACCTTATGAAAAATGGGGAATAACATACAGCTTCGCTTCCCCCTGCCCCAATACTAAAGGGTTTGTTTTACCTGGAACGGTTGGGCTCACTTGAAGTACACTGCCAAGAGGAATTGTTGGAGCATTGTTATGTAAGGTGGTAGCATCTGAGCTGTATCGTAAAGGAGAGACTGCTATAACTAAGCGCGTGTAGTTCTGGCTTCCTTAAATGAACTGGGTCAGCAGTTGGAATGGCGGATCGTGGTTTATTTGTATGTTGCTTAATCCTTTAGTTTATAGGCTGTTCTGCAACTTCCTCTAGCAACAGTGACTCCACCTAAGAATCCAACTGCTTCCTTTCCCCTGTCCCAGGAAATCTGGAGATGCCTCTGACTTTCCCAGTTGCAATATGAATTACTAGCTTATACGCTGACTGGTAAAGGTTAATATTCTTCAGTGCTCTGCAGCATCCCTGCCAGAAATACTTCTAAAAGGTAGAGGCAGCATCTCCTTAAACAAAACTGCCATGGAAAATAATTGTGTAATCATTGTCCCTTTCAGTGAGGAGCTACTGCTGGAATCACAGAAACTCTGTAGCCAACTAGAAAACGTGATGCATGACACAATGAAGGATCAGGAGCAGAGCTTCATGGTAACAATATTTGATATTCTTCTATAAATGGACTGGGGAAGCTTATGGCTTCAAACTTCTGTTTGTATAACTTTGCCACCAATAAGTAATATGGCTAACAGAAATCTGCATATGACTCTCTTGGACAAGGAGAGAGTAGGAGTGGTGGGAGATAGAAAGCACCCACTCCCTGACCTGAACTGCTGATTGACATATTCCCTGCTTGCTGAGAACAGGAGCCATGTGCCGGGGACTTAAGTTGTGCTGAATGATAAAGGATGGGGGAAGGTGCTTGGCTGTTGCACAAAAATACTGAAAAACTGTGCTCTTAAAATTGGGATGGTCTTAACTGGCAATAGATTGGTGGGCAGGGATGCTTATTTAATGAAGCATAATATTGAAAAGAAAGTAAAATATTAGAGAAAATAAGTAGCTTAAGGGTTTCCTTTACAGCAGTCACATGGTTCATCACAAAACTGTACTGACCTGTTTGTTCACAGTAAAATTTTTAAATCTTTTAAATTGCTTCTCCTTTATTTGGGAGAAATCTCAACTGTAAGGTAGTGTTGAAGTTTGTAGTTCTAACTGTTTTATTCTTTAGGCTCTAGATTGGAGCTGGCTGCAGCTTCAGGTAGAAGAAACAAACAGTCCAGAACAAACCCAGATGTAAAATCACTTCGGCTGCCTCTGAAGACATGCTACTTCAGGAAGCCAACTGTGAAAAGCTGCTGCCTCTGAGAAGGGAAGTTCAAGTGCCTCCTTCTACTGTCACCTACTGCTTATGTGATACACATGGCCTAGCTTTTAGTTGCCACTTCTCAAGACACTTCTTTCACAAAGATACCACAGGAAATGCCTGTTCTAATTGCTTGGAAAGAGTTCTTAATCGTGCCTTAAGACAGCAGATAGTCTTATTCTTTGTCTTGATGTATCTTCCCTTAGGTATCACATGTGGTTGTTTTGCTGCCTTTTAGGCTTCCTAATGAACAATGGACAACACCTGCAATCAGCTTGCAGTCACTGGTAGATGCCACCTTCCTAATATACTTGAACTGTGAACTTAATTTCTTAACTTTGCTGATTTGCACTTTTTTCCTTAAGCACAACAGTTGTACTTACCTAATACTTGTTTCCTCTATGGGAACGAAATTATCTAAAACATGTAAACTTTTGGTTTGCTCTTTTTTTTATACCCTCAATAACATTTTAACGAAAAAGCTGCTTTCACTGTTCAGGTCTCTAAAACGTGAGAGGTGTAAGGATGCTACCCAAGAGACCCCGGAGAAGGAAATCTTCAGTGTGCACACATAGTTTAACAAAGCAGTTGCAGATTAAGCACGGTTAATAGATGAAGTTGCACCAAAAAAAAAAAAAAGCAGATGGGCAGAGCATAGCTTTTCTGAACCTTTCTGAGAGACAAGACACACCAACATTATGTTCCAACTGTGATCAATTTATTTCATTCTGATGTAAACCCGAATTTCCACTACAGCACAGAGACCACCTTTTATAACAGGTTGTGAAGTGTAGGACATGCAGGATGCAATACAATAATGGAGAGAGGTGGGATTTTCTTCTGAGTTTAGGAATAGATTTAAAATATGGGAAAGTGAAGTGTGGCACAAACGTCATAACTTCCATGCATACCTTCAAGTATCTTCCTTTGATGTGCTGGCACTCTCTGGACTTCGGTGTTGGGTTAAAATGATTCTTTGGAAGAGTAGAAAGTTTACGCTTCTTGAAATTTCAGAGTAATATTAAGGCCGAAACACACTGGGTACACTTTTCCTTCATCTTCCAGAGCACCACCTCTTGTTTTACTTAAAGCTGCATTAAGCTTCCAGCTCAAATCCCAGCCCAACTTTGTGACCTCCAGCACTGAAATTCTTGCCATCAATCAAGCCTGAGAGGGTCAGCTTTACACCTAGGAAAGCAAGTAATGAGACCCTTCATACACAGATATCCCTGTACACTGCCCCGCCTCCCTCATGTGTCTTCGTTGCTAGGGAACTTCTGTACATCCACATCCTTTACTTCTATGAGCCTACGTAAGATTTCTAGCTAGGTTGTTTATCTGTTCTATCTAGAGATGACAGTAAAATAACCCATAGTGTAGTACTAATACCTATTTGCTGCTACCAGTTGGACTTACGTACCAGGTCGGAGGGCATGAGTGTAACCAATTCCAATCAGGCTGGCATTATTCACTTTAGCCTACAGGAAAGAAAAAGAAATCACAGTATTTATACACTGTACAGTCAGATATTATACACAAAATAGTCAGATAGAATTGTCCCAGTGCCTTGAGAAGGTTGCTTATGCATTAACTCTTTCAGCCACTTGTAGACTAACTTCTAGCGGTGGTGTATTCCAGTCTTCCTTTTCTCCTCAAGCGTTCCCATCTTAAGCTGTAACAGGCTTGTTACCTCATCAACCTGTGTTCAGCTATATTTTATTTAGGTAAGATAATTGTCAGAAAAATGGAGTAAGATGAACTAATAAAGCGTGGTATGCATGGTGATCAGGGACAGGTAGACTAGAATTTAAAAGTCTACATAGTTTTGTTTTTAAGGAGTATCTGAACAGCAGCCAGTGTTTCAGATAAGGAGCATTTCATGGCTACACACTTACTCAAGCTGTAAGCTCAGCTGAACTTTCATTGTTATACTATACTACAGTTTTACATTATGCATTAGATAAGAATTAAAAGGGCACTGCATGTTCTCGTTACATTTTGAAAACACATTTTGCACAGGCTCCAAGCACACGAGTCAGACTAGTGATTATTTCACCATGGACAAAACGGAGCTTAAGATTTTTTTTTTTCCCCTCCATTGTTTCACAAATATGACCTGTGAGGTCCCAATTTGAATTTGAACGACAACAGAAGCCAGTTTACCATCTACCATACTTTCTCAGTAACCATTTAAAGCAACTACTTTCTACCACAAGTTTTCAGTATTTAAGGGAGCTTGAAATACTCATTCCTGTAACAGAATTCTTACCACAATGGAAGTCTTCTCATCCAGTTGGTACTTAGCCGCAATACCAAAACGTGTGTTGTTACTGCCAGCAGTCCACGCAAGATTGACTGATGTCTCAACCTTATTATTAACCTTCTGATAAATAGACCCACCAAACTCCGTGCCATCATTCCTGTTTGTAACAGATGCAAGTGTGTCAAGCCTTGCCTTGTTTAGTAAATAGTAAGTCTTCAGACTAACCCTTCCCCACAATCACTTGGTCATTATCTCTTAAAATGAACCAAGAGTTCCAATACTTCCCTGGACCCATTCTCATGTACTTCCTAGCTGGAGCTGGCACGCTCCTGCTCACGTTTTTTCACCCAAAACATAAGGTTTGCTTGCAGAATGGAACATGACTTTCCAACAGCTAAGACCTCTGGTTTGAGGTTCTAACAAAAAAAATCCAAACCCCAGATAACTTGCTTAAGTTAAGAAAGCAAGCCTGCGGTAACACATGAAGGGGCAAATCCAGAAAGACGTTAAAGTCAGTTACAGGAATGGTGAGACTGAAAACAATGTTACTGCATTGCAGTTCTTTAAATACACCATCTTCAAAGCCTCTCCGAGCACCTGAATGCCAAGACTAGAGCTACACTCCAATGACAGCTGGAAACTCTCAGGCACAATACAACACACACCTCTCTCCTCCACCTCGGGCATTTCTGAGCCAGAAGCTTTCTGTCTGGTGGGGAAGGGGGGAGGTACAGTGGCTTAATTGAAGGCTCTTTTATCTAGTGCCAAAACAGAAGTTAGTTTACAGATTTTAATTCCAAACTAACATTATAAAGTGCCTTTATGCCACTATCTTACATACACAAAACCCCCAAATTACCCTGAAACAAGGTCTCAAAAGATAGCCAAGAGTGGCAAAGTTGCCCCAGCTTTAATTGTACTGAAGATGAAAACACCAAATATGTATTATTTTGAAACAAATCAGCATCCCCTTCCATCCACCCACTTTTCACCTAGCTCTGTTAATGCTTGCTACTGAGCTAGTATGGCTCTTCTTGATAATGTTTTTCTAGGCTCAGAAAATACTTACACATTAGTGTGCAGCTGAAAGTCTCCTGCCTTATATCCCAAGGCAAAGTTATTTTGTGAAAGCTTAGACTTGGCTGTATCAAAAGCCATCTGGTAGCCAGCAAGCCAGCCTTCATAGCCCAACACTGCCCAGCCATAGATGGTTGGTCCAGAGAGATCAACGTCTATGTTGCAGCCTAGATTTACATATTCTCTTTTGTAGGAGGTCTTCAACTTTCCGCTCTTCTTCCTGCAGAGAGAAACATACCATTTTATCCCTGGTAGTATACTAGTATGTATTATATGTAATTTTATTTATTTGTGTATGTATGTCCCTTAAGGGCAGTTAATTAAATGACTGTAATGCCTACTCAAAACTTAACAGCTGCTGAAGAGGGCATGGGATAAGAGTAATACTGGTATTATGTATATTTACATGGTGCCACGTTTTTCCTCTATCATCTCAAACTCTTTAAAATCCTCAAGAAGCATAAAAAGACAAAAGCGTTTCTGCTTAATGCTCTAAAAACATCAGGTTTCAAATTTTCTCCACAAGTGAGTGCAATGTGTTACGGCACATCGGTTTCTTCCAGGAGCACCCATGACATCCCGCACTGACAGTTGGCCTTTCTGTCCTTCAGTGACTTCTTGTCTGCTCGGTTCTTTCCACCATTACTTCATGTGCAGTGCTTGCTTTCCTTCCTTCTTCACTACTGGATACCAGTCTCCTCAATCAAAATCGAGTTTCCTCATCCTGCAGAACTCATCCACTTAGTCCTTCTGGAAAAGCCTCTTCCTCTCTCTCCATTGCACTTTGTGCTCATTTTGCTATTCAAACTTAACATAACCGAGACAAAATTCTATCACCTCCTTAATTCTCTCCCCAGCCTCCTTTCTTTCCCAGTGAAGACAGCAGAACACCGTGCTGCCTGTCACTCGTGCCCAGGCCTGGGGTCTCATTTTTGACTTGGCTTCTAATTGCTTACATCCAAGCAGTATTTCAAAATTGATTTTTCTTATAGGCTCTCCCCAAAAATAAAGAAATACCAGTAATTATTTACAAAGCAATCTCAAGCTTTGTGCATTATCCAGACACAAACACCCCTCCTTTGCTCTAACTGCCTACCAAAAATACATACATGATAATTGAGAAAGACAAAAAAGTGCTATTCCACTGCCTATCATAATACCTATGTGGTTCTACCTCCTCATTCAGTCGTGCAGAGACATCTGCCCAAAAGCATCAGGGGAAAAAAAAAAAAATAAAAATTTTTCTTTGTGTTCTTAACAAAGACACCGAGTTGACGGCAGGAGGACTTTCAACACCACGACAAAGATGGTACAAGTTAAGTGGTCCATGTAAGACCTAGCTGTTTAAGGGGAGAGTTACAAAAATACAATACCCACTGCAATGGCCAAAATTTGCCCATGGCCAAAAAGCCAAAGAATCATTTTTAGCAGACCTTGTCCTTCTGAGCCCGGTATTATCCATTGCCATTCAAAATATTCTACAGTCCCTGCAGAATATTCTACAGTAAATTTGGAGCATTTACACAATGACCATAATATGAATTTCTAATTAAGTTATGTTATGGGAAATTCTAGCATTCTTTAGATACAGGTAACAACGTATTTACCCTGTGTTTGGTACAAATGTAGTGTCAAGAGCCACCTTCAATCCTTCAGCCAACTGCAAAGAAAAACAGACACGTCTGCTCAGAACTCTGCTGAAATGCGATTTGTTATATTCCACTACTATAGCTCTGCGTCCACTCTAAAGAGAAGACAAAACACAACCATAATGTCTCCCACATATTTTACAATGAAATCTGAAGATGCCATATGATGAGGGATTAAAATTTGGACTTTTTCTGCCCACAATGAGGCCCTATAACAGCGCACGCTTTGTAGATACGTTATTACAGGAAGATTTCAAATCTAGTGTTGACAAGAAAATTGAGAAACTGTTAAAGAGAACTGTTCAGTTCATGTTTGCTTATTCCCTGTAGTTCCAACAATCCATACGGCAGCTCAAGAATCTCTCTCAGAATCTGCAGGTATTCTTTTAAGACGCTACTGTTTCACAGGCCAAACCGTGTACCTGCCTCAGCTTTCCCACCCTTGTTTTGAGCTGGACAGCATTTTCCATTTTAAAGCACAGGTAAAAGCGCAAAACATAACTACAAAAATTGATGGCCACACATGTCAGAGGGCACCACAGAACTTTTACTACCTCTGGCACCATTACCTTATGTTTCAGGCATTAAGTGAAAAGCGTAAAGCTGCTACTTTGAAAAAAAATTGTGTGCTCCAAGACTGCTGTATGCTAGCAACCCTTTGTGTAAGCAGTGCGAAGCTGCAAACACTAATCTTTCTCTTCAACCTTATAAAATATATTCAATCTCAAGGCAGCCAAACTTAAGTCCTTATGTATCCGAGAATTTAAAACTATGAGACCCCTCTTCCCTGCATGACTGCAGCAGTAACAGTTCTACATAGCTAGAGTGCGTCTTTAAAGAAAAACTCCTACTTGGAGCGGGTAACAGCAATACTCAATTCTACCAGATAGCTAATTTTGCATTCCTGTACCTGCAGTAACTAGGTACCTTTGGATCATTACGTAGCAGCACATTGCTGTAGGAATGCTTGCACCACCCCCCCCTCCACACCCCAAATTCATGATGCTCTCTCTCAGTCTGTGCATTCTGCAAATGTACATAACTTCTTTTTAGTACTCCAGATAGTTTTGTGCAACTTTCACTCTTCAATGTTTTCTGCTCAACTGAATACTTTTCTCATACCAGTTGTAGAAACATTTTCAGAGTATCTACTTCCTCTTACCTGATCCTCCATGGAAACTTCTGTTCCCAACGTGTTGTCTGTGTTCCACTTCTGGGTGAATGTAAGTCCATAGTCTTTGATCTTGTATTTGGTCTCTAGACTGCCTGAAGCCTTGCCTGTGTCTGTGTTGGACGAACCAGTTGCAGTGAATTCCTGCCAAGAGCATAATAGGACTTTCAGCACTCTGATATTTGACTACGTTCAGTTTTTCCACTTTTCAAGTGCCAGCACTCACACTTACTACCCTTAGGCCTTTTGACAGAACCCTCAAAATCATCCTCCCCTTCCCTATCCCCACCAAACCCAATTATTTTTGCACCAAAATGCTACTCCTTTTGGCATCTCTGTCCTGGGTATTCCTTCTGTTGAGGTGTGCTGATAGAGCCCTGGAACCGGCTTAGGTTGGAAAAAGCACTATTACACAAAGACCCGACATCTTCACTTACTTTTCATCTGCATCTTGATTTGATTACCTGCTCTCCCCTTCTAATTTTTACCACACTTTTCCCCTAACTCATCCACCAACCTCCCCTGCACCAAAAAAACCCTTTTTCTGCCGTCTTTTTTCTGCTCCAAAGTGGCAATTGTTATTTCAACATTCCACAACTTGCTCTGTACCTTCACACAGATCCATACCCAGATACAAAAAGATACTCACTTGGGATACAAAGCTGCTTGTATCCTTGGATTTTTCCTCACAATCTCCTCTAATTCCCATTATCATCTTACTGTCCCAGTTGTGCATTTTTTCCTTTTTCCACCTTTCAGCAGTGAAAGCATCTTCTGGAGAATGGTCATTGATGGTTTTCACACTGACTACTGCACCCTAACATTGTTCCCCCTACTCTTTATCCTGTTGTTACTTAAGACTCTTCATACACCATGTTGATGACTTTTCTACCTTCTCCCTCAACCTAACTTCTCAGTCATTACCTCAGCCAGCAACTACACTTTAGAAGCTAGGTCACCCCTTTGTAAGGCACCTTAAAATTGTAGACTTTTTCTCCTGCACAGTATCAGAAAATAACCTGACCCCACTAGGCGCTTGGACATCTCTCCATCAGGCTGGTCCTTAACTGAACCAACAACTTTGAATTTTGTATATTTATCTTGTAATATGCTGTCCTATGCTGTTTGGCCAGTCCCCCCCACATCAGAGCTTCCTGTTATTTAGGGGACTTGAAATCTCAATAAACATCTCTCCTCCTGGAATAACTCGGAGGTGGCCTATTCAGTGTTTCTTGCACAAGAAAGTACAAAGCAATGAGTAGGCGTATTGTCCATCCACAAAGCCCCATTTTGTTGCAGCAGAATGCTCATTAGGAACACTAACAAGCACAGAACCTGAAGCAACAAGACAACTGTATCAATACCATATCTATCTTGTTTTCCCTCCTGCTGTTTTTATGTTCTTATCGTGGATTGTTGGACAAAGATTGCAAATGGCTTTACATACATGGATCATACAGCAGATTAAGAGCTATGGACACAGTCAGACTTCATGACATGGATGATAACATGACTAAAACCAATGGCACACTTTATGAACAACCGTGCGCACCACAGAAAATCTTGCTAGACAAAGCAATAAAGAGCCAACGTGCCGAAACAGTTACTATTCTTACCAGCTGGATAAACATCCAACATGAAAGTTGCATGGAAAAGGAAAAGCCCATTTTAGAACTCAGTACAGTTGTTCATGTTCCATCACATTCAGAAGATAGCATAATTAACCATTAGCTTATTATTTGAGAATCAAAACTTACAGCCAAGGAAAACTCTGCATATCATGAGATGTCAGTAACTGGTAGCAGTCACAGTATAGGGACCACACAGTTCCTTGTGCCTACACGTTCCTGGTGCACAATGCAAGCTATCCATCAAAAGCTCAGTTGAGACAGAATACAGTAATACAAAAGGAATGCCTTTTACCATTGGCATGGTAAGAATGCAAGAGAAGGAGGGACCTAAGGCAAATATGGTTATGAAGTAGGCTGAAAAGCAGCACAGCTTATCAACCAGAACAGCATCAAGTGGTAGCACACACAGAAGTGAGACAGTGTAAGAATAAGCTTATCTAGCAAACAGTTTATGCCTATGGTTAAAGACCAAAATTGTGAAATCTATTCCTGGTTTTGCCAGCCCTCCTGTGAAATCATGAGGAAGCTCCACTTCTCCATCTTTAAAGTGGGGATCATAGTATTTTCTAGTTACCTGAAGTGCAAAAGCTCAATTAACGTCTATAAAATGCTCTCAAATTCTGCATAAAGGGTACTGCAGGAGGACTATTTAATTTTAATTGTCTTGCATTGTAAGCACAGTGGATGTGAGTGAAAATGAAGTTAAGTTAAACTGCGGCTCTTATTTGCCCCTTGGTCAGTCTGGACTCAAAATACTACAAACAATAACAGCAGAGAAACTCAGCTGCATTTATAAGCAGAAATGAGAGCTATTTAGGCTGAAGAATCTCTTATGTTTGGGATGTGGCAATGGGAACCAGGAGAAAAGCCACATGTTCACAACAAAACGTGTGAAAATTCTTGCATGCCTCAGGAAAAGAAGTACTGCTACGTCAGTCCCACACATCATTATAGAAATACTTCAGTCAGCTACAGGTTTTAAAAGGAGAACTGAAAGAGAGAAGCAATGCCTACTAGCAAGTTATTACCACCAACCAGTTCAGGTCCTTCCACTGCAATACTAGTCATGTTGAAAGCCCCCAGTACTTACCACCCCACTGGAAGACTTGGTCTTCAGCTCTAACTTGACCATTCCAAATCCTGAAAATAAGAGAGTGCATAGCATCTGTTTCACCACAACATACAAGCAAGGCTTATTTTCAACACACCCGATGTACAGCAGGTAGGGTACGCTGACCTAAACCAACTTATTTTCCTATTTCACCAGTTGTTGATCTTACTGAGGAATGATTGAAGGACTTTTGAGTGGGTGGCCGCATAATTTATAGTCATAACAGTCACCCATCATCAAGTATCTCCACCTTCCATAGCTACCTGCAGTCTGGGACCAATCAATACAATTACCATTTCTTCTGATTTACTCAATTTACTTTTGTATTTCCGATTGCAGGGCAGGAATTTTTCTTTTCCCCTTCTCTGAGAAAAATGTTTCAACTTACTTCAACCAGTGCTGCATACAGAGATACCATTCCTTCCTTCTTTTTCTTTCTAACCTGCTACGAATCCAGGGAAACACTCGGCCCTTGCACAGTGAAGGAAAGCCTGAAACAACTGACACTAAAGCATGGAACTTGAGTTGAATTTTAGCAAAGCCTGAACTCCAGGATGGCAGAGCCCAGACCAGAGTGCTTTTTAATTTTATGGAGCACGTGGATTTGGGATACAAATGCAATCTTTATTACGCACTCACAAAACCAGATAAAAAACGCTTTCAGTACTGCTCCCAGAAAAGGGACCAATGTCAGAATTTCTCCATTTAAATTCTTTTAAGAGGAATGCAAATATTGTGAAATTATTTCCACTATAGCTATGACAATAGGCTATTCTGATTAGCATAAAGATCATTCTACCTCAGGAACCTGTTTGTTGCCACATATGGCAATCTGTGCCAGTCTGAATGATTTAATGCCTCTAAAGACAAACATTGGAAGGTAAAAAATGCAGCATTATTCAGAGACTGTTCTGGAGCGCATCTTAAGGTCAAACTCATAACTTTCCCCTCTACTCTTTGCCTACTGCAGCTTTTTCACAATACACGGCTGAAGTTCAAATTCAGAAGGGGTTAGATGCTCCGGGCCTCTGCTGAATTCCTACCACAAGGTATTCAGGGGGTCTCTGGGGTACTAATGTTTTTACTGTAATCTTCAAGACGCCTAAGAAAAAATATGAAAGATTATCAAACCACATTCACATTTCTTACCATATCCCTTGTTGAATACATCCCTGGCAGACTTTCCCAAGTCACTGTATGATGGTGGGACAGCCATGCCAAAGCATTTATAAATGTCTATGACTAGTACACTCTGCATACTTCACTGATAGGGAACTGCAAGACCTTTGAAGTATGTTCATGAAAGTTATACTTGTATCATCATTGTTTTGTCAGAAACAAACAAAATCACTTCAAAGAAATTATGAAAGCAAATCCATTATTTGGAATCACTAAACCCCAGGAACATTATTACATTCAGCTACATATGTAGGCCTCACCTTCTTACATTGCAAAAAGAGCTCATGGGAGCCTTATCGCTGTTCCGATAAGGAGCAAACACTGCTCTGTGACAGGACTCTTTCTGAGAGGGACCCCAAGTGGCAAAGCCATGTCAGCACTGAACAATCCCAAAGAAAAAGATACCCGAGTTCCATGTGCATTTGTGACTTCTTAGAAAGCTGTTTCAGAGATTTGTAAAATATAAGAAGAGATCTCTGTACACTGTCCAGTAGCCACCAGTGAGTATTTCTGCACTGTGCATGCGCAGCAGCAAAACCTACATTTTCTAATACAGGTAACCGTTACAACTACTTTGGAGGACATAACTCAAAAGGACGGGCTTGTGATACTACGGCCTGCATAACATATTCAATGTTAGTTAACACAGCTCCGGGATTTTGCATCAGAAAAATCCACATTAAAAGAAGCAGGAAAACTCTTCCCCAGTGGAAAATTAGTCTTCCCCTTCTAGAAAAAGTTTGCATGAATGTAAAGGCACACTTGCTCCAGAAAAGAAAAGCTATCAAAGATGATGCTTTTGTTTGATTTTAAGGGCAATTCTTTGCCACTTAATCCTTCCTACAGCTGATGCACTTGTTGACATTCTCTGCAACACTCAACATCAGAAATCCCTGATGCCCCATTTTACTTATACTACACTGAAAGACTAATCTAAAAAGTAATAATGCCAGCAAAATATGTAAAATCCCTAAAGTCATCGCTTCCACCATTTTAGTTGCTTACTGGTGTACTCGGTCCCTCTGTCACAAATGCAACAGTATCTCTATTAGGCAATTAAGTCCTGTTTTCAGATAACTACCGCTTTCCTAAAATGAAGCACTCGGGCAATTTACATCCCATAGTAGACAAACGCTCCACGTTCAGTGACTTGGTAACTAACCTGCGCTATGTATCTACCAATGCATGAACTCTATAATCCTTATGGGTCCCTTCCAACTTGAGATATTCTATGAATATATATACCTTTGGGTTTAGAGGATCTAAAATAGCTGGACATGACTGCAGGTTCCTTATCTGAAGATTAGTACAGAAAACAGGTACTTCTCAAAATTACTATGCAAAAAGGCCTTTTCACCTGTCAAACAGGAAAAATTACCATCAGTGAATCATGGAATCGATGCAAGAGAAACAGAATGTGTACTTTTTTGACAACATAAGTTTAAATGATTACAATAGTTTTAGCAACACAGCTATGGAGCAGAGCATATCTTTCTTTTAAAAACATTTTTTCACACAAATCTCTTGGTTCAGAAGTTTCAACTCATATTTTAAATTTGGGGTTGGGGGTTTTTTTCGTTGTTGGTTTGTTTTGGTTTTTTCCCCTGAACAGGTTTGTCAGAGTTTTTCAACCCACTGATTTCAAAAGCTCAGCAAGTCAAGATTTTGAGTAAGGCTGATTGCTTGGACATTTTAACACGGTGATACTCTACATATGCAGTAACTACCTAACATGCTTTTGAACATCAGGAGTTTTTTTCCAGCAGAAACCAATATGAAAGATAACTCCCTGCATAAGAATTTATACAACGCACAAGCAGATTTTTTTAAAAAAATGCTCTTTAGGCACAGCTGGCTTTCAGGGAACTGTCCAGCTATTGAAAACATGACAGGAACGCTCCATAATCATAGGGATTTGTAGCTGCCCTCCAAACCACGTAACCTGTTTTCAGTTAGAAGTCTGACAACGATCAGCACATCTTGGGAGTGCACATCAACACATTTTGGGAGTTGGGACTAAACTATTTGGAGTTTAGAAGACCTCAGTCTAACTGTCAAATTACACAGAGATCTTGCACTGAACAAAAGCAAGAGCGTAGATAACAACCCCCCACCCCAGTTTCTGAAAACATGCCACACCCCTACCTTTTTCATGCTTTGCCTGTTGCCTCTCAAACCTTTCTACCTCCCTGTGCAGACGGGCATGGGCTTTAGAAAGACAAATGACAACAGAGTTGACCACCAAGTAGTCTTGGGGCTCTCCTCACCAGCCTCACTGAAAATGCTTCAAGCGAAGGAGGACTTCACCATCCTGTTCAGCACCTCCTCAACCTAAATCTCACCCTTTTGTCTGACACCCTGTTCTGTTTACACCTCATTTTCTTAAGGCTATTGAGACATCTTGAATACTGTGAGCCTGTTCACTCTCCTAAGCTGTCTCCTCTCTTTACAAGATACAGCTGTATTTTCTGTATTCTACATGTTTTAATGTGTAGGTTTACTATTATGCAAGTATTTAAACAGTATTCTAAAAAAAACCCAAAATCGTAATCTCTTTGCTAATAACAAGCAGCTCTGCTTGCAAGCCAGGACTATTTAGAGGAACTGAGCTCACAGTTCCACAACTATTAATACTCAATGTGAACTGGTCTCCATCAACCAGATGCAATGACAACAGCTGACAAAATGCAATGTAAAGCAGGAAAAGATAAATTAAGCTGGAGGTCCAGTAGAACTAAGCCACAGTACTCGTTTTAAGCACCTTGGTTTTAAACAAAGCCTCCTTAATCTTTGCTTTGATTTTCCCTTCCACAACAATAAAATTAGTGCAACCGCCACAAGAGAAAACGTATCAACGAATAAAAGGTTGGGAGCAACTGATGCTGAACATTGCCATCTCCAGATACGGCGCACCGTAAGCCAACGCCTGCGTATCAACTGCAGAAACATAACGTCAAATTGGAAACGCCAGCGAGGACGTGAACACGAGGACACCCGCATCGGTCTGCGGAATAGCTGGGGGAAAAACCAGAAAGGCACAAGAAAGAAAAGCGACAAGGACTGCGCTTCACTGGCACCCCTGGGCGGCGCGGCCACGAGCGCGGCCTCCTCCTCCGTTACG